TAATGAATATCAATCAAGTTGAATGATGATATATATATAATTTAGAAAGGAACTTTCTGATCACCAACCAAAAACTGAAATTCTAAGAAGGAAAAAAAAAAAGCATTTTTAATGCCTTTTCAAAATACTCCCAACAACCTTTTGGAAATTTCACAGTGAAAAACTAAATCAAATCATATGAATTTGTTTAAGTTGGCACTAAATCCTGTTTAGTAAGTTTGAATTAAATTTAATGCAGTTTGGTTGAGTATGGCATCCCGCTGGTCCAGAAAGAGTAAAATGTTGTATGTACTTGTAAGTAGTACATAACATATGATTGTTAAACATTCAGATATTCTGTGGTGATGGTAGCTCTTGTGTTTAAACAAGTTCTATAAAGAGCTGTGTTGAAAAAAAAAGATGCCAATTGTGAAAAAAACTAAGTAGCCATGAAAAATGTGTTGCTTGTATACTAAGCCTTAATATTATCAGACCAGAAAGCACATGTTTAGTGTTAAAACTGTTGTTCATACAACTTAATGTATTGCTAAGACATAGTATTCTGGATATTAGATAAAATCTCTTTACACTTACATCAATAGCATCCACACTGTAAATTAATTATTTCACTAGAACTGATATATACCATACAAGGGATTTTCTGCTGTCATCAGTTTACGTAAATGGCAGCCTAACCTCTACCACTGAATAATTCATCCAGGTGTTTAAAAACATGAACACCGGGGGATAATTAATTTCAAAACTTTTTCATAGCAACAAGATAACTTTGCATAACAGTTGGAAAAATTTGCATAGCATCACACCAACACATCTGACACAGTCTCGGACATGTGTGATACAAAAATAGAGCATCAAGTTGCTTGAATCTTAAAAAAACAATATTCCAATGAACTATTTTCAGTTGAAAATATTTTAACAGTACACTCAGTATTTTTATTAATTCTTAATCTAGAAAATGTTGCCTTTCCTCACTAAGCTTATTCATGTAATCTATTACTCTGTCCAGAATATATCTCTTTTTTTGTTTTCAAAAATGAAAATCAAAATTTGTTCTAAATTAAAAATAGGCTGTAATTTAAGCCTAACTCCTTAAAAATATTTTTTATCCAGCAATATTAACACTAAATTGAACATTAATTACCTTTAGGAACTGTGCAGAGAGAATCATATGAATCATGGATAATTTGAAAAATAATGGACATGGGTTGCAGATTTACCATTAATAAAAATTATATCAGGCTGAGCTGGCCATTTTGATATGTGTGTGAAGTTTGAAAATCTAAAAATAACGTATTGTACTAATGTATGATTACGTGATTTATCACTTCCACGGGATATTCAGTGCAGACAAAAAAATTGAGATATTTGTAATTGAATTCTTTCTATTGAACTTCAGGTTATTTTCAGTACTTTATTAAATTGTATTACAATTTGTTCACTTAGTGTAGTTACCATTACATTCACCTGCCATAAATTAAGCAATAAAAAAAAACGGTTTAGATATTAGGAAAGAAAGTAAATGAAATTGTATTACAATTTGTTCATTTTATGTAGTTATCATTACATTCACCTGCCATAAATTAAGCAAACAAAAAGAGGGGTCTGATATTGGAAAAAAAGTAAAGACATTGTTTCCTGAAAGAATAATTGTATAGACAGACCAATGTAAAAATTAGTAAAGAAATAAATAATGCTAATAAACAAAGAACCTACATATTTCTAAGCTTGTTTTCCTCTTTTGGCATTCATTAGGTCATCTTTCCACTTTCTGACTAGCTTTTAGGCAGATTGTATCTTTACATACCGTTTACTAGTTTAGAAGCATTTTCTATACAGTTCAGTTTTAAAGTTCAAAAACAAAAGTGTAATCTGTTAAACTTGCATACAACTTGACAAATTTGACATTTATAGTTTTTTTAAATAACCAGTCATAAACATCCAAGGCTGTAAGATTTCATTTCAGTTACAGAAAGTTTATTTTATTAGTTTTGGTTAGTTAATTGTGCTGAGAAATACAGTAAGATAAATTATCTTCTTGGTTAAACTGGGCCAAGTGTGCCGTAGTGTTTATTGTGGATTGAAGGTTCTGTGGTTTGCTTCCTGTTTTACTACAAAAAAAATAATAATTTATGCAATTTGTCTCTGTGGCTGTATTATAAGAATGAAGATAAAATCTCTATTTGGTCTAACAAGACTTAGCAATGGATGGTGTTTATTAACTGCCTTTAGTCTATCACTTCAAAATTATCGATGACTACAGAAGATAGTCCTGAAGTAGTTTTGTATGAAATTCAACAAAATAAATGCTTGTTAACCACTTTACATAATTCTGTTTGAATAGTTTTAGTTGATTCAATATATATTAAGAAAATATTACAATGTCATGTTTGGTTTGAAAAAAAAAAAATATATATATATATATATATATATATATTCTGTTGAGTCAGTGTACCATTGCTGCTGGTAGGACAAATAGGATTTTGGATTTTATTTATAGGAATATGGAATACAAGTCTAAATAGTTTATCATTTCATTGGTTAGGTCTCATTTTGGAGTATGGTCATTGGCTCCTAACTTAAGAAAGACTTGAATTGTTGGGAAGAGTTTAAAGGAGGGCTATTAGTATAATACCTGGGATGGAAAGGTTATATGAGGGCAAGGTAATATTTATGAAATTTTCTCTTGAAAAAAGTAGAGGTAGAAGAGATTTGTTTGAAGTGTTTAAGATTATTAAGAGTACTTGTATTATTGATACATCATCTTTGTTCATATTTAATAGTGAGAATGGTAGGACAAGGGGACATAAATATAAGCTTTGACAGGGTAGGAGTCACTTTTAGCTTAGACAGTTTTACTTTTCCAACATGGTGGTTGATTTTGGAATGGGTTGCCTTCAGATGTAGTGAATGTGGTCGTTTTAACCCTTTCACTGCATAATTAGATTTCATAGTCAGTCCCTAATCAATGTCATTTCTCCATCAAAAACATAGTAAGTTAGCAGTATATTTCACTGTATTATGCATTATGATATATGTCGCATTTCAATTGCTTATCTTGATGTTATGGCATCAAAAACTAAAGTTATGGTAAAACACAGGGAAAATATGACAATCTACTTGTATCTCTCGGTGCCTTGTGTTGTCTGCTGATTGCGGCCCTAGCCGAGGGATTGTTTATACTTTTGTTTCCTGCTCATGCTCCCAGATGTCTGCACACCCAGTGTTTGGCAGTAGATTCAAGTTTGTGGAGGGTTGTTGCTTTCCATTCTATAAAGGGGAAAAGTTTTTGAAGTCGATATCCACTGTCAATGACAATTGACCTTCTATCAGCTGTAGTTGCTTTCTGTGTTGATAGGGTTAAGGGAACTAAAAGGAAATTTTGAAAAATATTTAAAGGATCAAAGCTGGATTTGAGTTTTTTTAAGTGGATGAGACAGCCTTCATGAACCAATAGGATAGGCTCCTTGTCTTTAAAAGTTATGTTACATTAGGCTGTACAAAACATTTTATATTTTTCATGTTATATGTACATGTTTATGGATTCTGTTTGAATGTAGAACCATGACTATTTTTTTTTTTTTATTGTAGTTCTCTTAATTGCTTGACTTTCCTTTTGAATACATTAAATGAATTGTGTAATGCTAGTTGAATTTCAACTTGTACATTAACAAGTTTTGCTGATGGTATGAATAGTCTAAGTTTGAATGTTTGCTATCCTCTTTGCTTGCAACTTTTTACAATCAAGAAATGAAAAATAACTTTCAATGGAAAGTATAGTAATACAGTATCCCATCAGTCTTACTGTTACCACACAGTTTAAAAGAAGGCTTTGATTAAGTATTCTTCCTGTCATAGTAGCATTTGATAGTAGTAATTTACTGTATAGTAGTAAAAGAAAATGACATTATTTTTAGGCCTATTGGTATAAAGAAAATTTAAAACTTTTAATAGAGAAAAGCACAAGGTTTTGGGAAATCTCCAGCATCAAGAACTTTTAACAAAGATACTGGGGAATTTAAATTCTTTGAACACATATTGCTTATAATGGCTGGAGACGGCTTGAATAGGTAATGAAGAAAAATTTTAATATAAGTTTAACATAACAGCAAATGTACAACATTTCGACAAGGTTTTGTCATCATCAGGTACATATTGCTTATAATAAGCCATTAGGCATATTTTCTTTATTACATTTTCTGATGGATAATGTTTGGGGTTAATTGATTAATAAAAAAGGTTATATATTTCATCTGAAAACATAATTTAAATACACTTTATTGATGAAATGTTTTCTTTTTTAGAAAATTATCATTATTTACTCTTTCAAGGGTTTTTGTAGATATTAAGTTTTGTAATTTTACTCTTACAGTGTCAAGAAAAGTCTCCTTTGGCAGCTCAACATTTACAAAGATTAATAAAAAAATTGTTGGTAATTATTTCTCGTCCAGCACGGCTCTTGGAATGCTTGGTAAGTACCAAATAATGATTGTAATAACTTTTGTTCATTATGATTTTTTGTTACAATAATGCAGTTGGTCTTATTTGAGTTATAATATTTGTGTGAATTTTGTTTCTAGATAACTTTGGTTTCTCACAGCTTTCAAATTGAACTTGAAAGTATGAATTTACATGAAAGTTATAACTTGTATTAGGAGGATTGATAGTTATTATGGTGAAAATACTTTTTTTCCTTTTATGTTGATTTAAACAGTTACAAAACAATTTTATTGAGATACTAGTCTGCTCATAATACTAAACTGTTGATTAAGTTATAGCCTAAGGACAGTATTCTCGTAGGTAATTTTACACAAACACTGGATAGCAGTTTTATTTTGAATGATTTTGAGAACTTTAATGTTTACTGTGATTTATTCCTTGAGTTACCACTGAAAATAACAGAGTAGCCAGCTATACAAACTCTGTCTTGAAGTTGGTTAAGTCTTGTTTAATTCTTAATCTTATAGTATGTTTATATGTAGATAATGCCTACTAAGTTAGTACTGATGAATGCTGGTATGAATCACTCCAAGTAAAAGACAAGTTTTATACAGGAATTTGATCCAGAGGATTTCTACCGACTACTAGAAGCAGCTGAAGGACAAGCCAAAGTACTTCAAGGAGTTAACCCAGATATTCCACAGTACATAATCAATAAATTAGGATTAAACAGGGATCCTCTATCAGGTACTTCTCTTTTACTGCACAAAAGTAAGGAAAGGTAGCAATAGTAATACATTTTATTATGTTCTTTATTTCCTTTGTTTTTAATTGCATTTCAATAATTTTTTAAATGTAAATAATAGATTATTCTTCAAAAATGATATTTCATCTGCTAATTTTTCATCTTTTTCATCCCTATAATACAGGGAAGAAAGAACATTTGTTTAAAACTGAATTTAGTTTAATTCTTTGTGTGTTGTTAATAGACAATTTCAATTAAAGTGTTAAAGGAACTTATTGTCACACACACACAAGCTATCCCATAAACCTGGGAATCTAAACATATTTTCTATTTATTTAATTAACAACAAAAAATAGCATGTACCAAAACAAATGTTCAAAGCTGTTTACCATTATTACACACAGAGCAAAATGGTAACTTAATTGTATTTATTCAATCAGAATATTGAGTTTTCAATTAATTTAGTTGTATAAATGTTGCTTCTAATTGGTCTTGACATTTTACAGGCAACATCTTAATTGTTTTTACGGTATTTCGTACACTTATGTACCAGTTAATATGTTTGTTCTTTTAAAGAAACTGTTTTACCACTGTTATAAAATTCACCCATCCAGATCATAATACTAACCCAGAATGGGTTGAGTTATCAAACATTAGAGCATTATCTGATGACTGAGTACAAAGAATGTTAAATTTTTTTATCAGATATACCTGAATTTGTTGTTTTATATATGCTTGTTTTAGTGTGTGTGTGTGCTTGTTGTAACTTGCTTATGTTTAATATATTCTCATTAACTTCTGAATGTATATTTTAGTTTACAGTAGTGTTTATAACTTTTTATTTCCAATACAGGATAATTTATAACATTACAAAGTATCCTTCATTGGGGAATGCAGTCAGCTTATGTAACTCTAGTGCAAACATTTATATTGAAAGTATAATTAAAAAATACAACTCTCAAGTCCATGTATCTCAATCATTTTGAACCAGAAATGATGTTAAAATGTTTTATAATATTTACTTAGTTGATTTTAGAACTAAAAACTAAAAAATTGAAATTCATAGTGCATGTAAAAAAGGAGTTCATCCAATAAAATCACAACTTGCTTATACCAATCCAAAACTTGAGAAATATGTTATTTTCTTTGTAATTCTTCATAGTTTACTGACAAAATATAAGCCATAATAACAATAATAAAAGAAAGAAATGTTTGCATGCCTGTATCTTCAACGAAGACTCACTATATGAACATGTGTCTCCTGTAAAGGGGAGTTATTTAGCTTCAAATTGATGTAAACATTTTGGTTTTCATTTATAATGGAATATTTTGACCTCTGTAAGTTCTGAAGAAGAGTCTGGTAAAACTATGCTTAACTGAAAGGTGAACAAAGTGTTTTTTAGAAATGGTTATGAGGTAATTGAACCTGGGAATTTGTTTTGAGACACTTTCATGTGTCTAGCACTAAAGTTTGTTTTGTATTTATTCCTTCTGAAAGCTACAGAAATAAGTTAATTGGTTATATATGTAATTTTTTGATCAATAATAAGTTAGCAAATCCTGGTTTCAAATGATTCTTTCATCTTTTCTTAGTTTTCTATATTGTGTAGACCAATAATCATTTACAAATTTCTATACATTTTTTTGAGGTTTTATTGGTGTGAAATAAGACAAACTATTGTTATTGGTGGGGGACAAACTTTTCTAGATTTTAGGCTAATAACAAAGAAAGGATAAAACTAAGACAAAGTGTTTGTATTGTTTTTTGTATAAACAACTTGTTTATAATAAACTTTCATAAAAATGCAGAAGGTAAAAAGTCATACAAATACAAAGATGCACCTGAATGGTTTTCTTTACATATAAACTACGTATTCTGTAGAAAGTTTGTGTCCAATTTTAGGCAGTTTCATTTTATAATTTCTTTGTGTAGTTATAACTGTTTGGGCTCTGTCAAACCAATGTACTGGTCTTCTGGGGGTTAACAAACTATTCTTGTTTTTAGATTTCACTCATGAAGAATCTTTAGGCGATCATCCTGAACCTAGTTCCCTTGAATACAGTTTGGCTGCAGAGGTAAGGACTATTTTTGTTATTGGTGCAACAAAATAGTAGTTTTTTTTTGTTTGTTTTTTTTAGCTATGAGAGAAATTGTAATTATAAATATAAGAACTAAAAGCAGTGTAAATGAGTGTTCTCTTATCAACATATTTCTTTTGCAGTTCAGTAGTGAGTTAAGAACCATAATTTTAGGCAAATATTTTTTGCATTCACTAATTTTTGCACAAGTAGTTTTTGTCAAATCATTTTATGGGTTATTAGTTGGGCAGATTACATCTGCCAAGTAAACATTTGGTAATGGTTATTAATTTAATATGAAAAGTCTTGTGTTGGTTAAGAAGAATTTCTGAATTAATTCCTTTGTTACCAAATTTGTACTCAATACATTCCATCATTAAGTCTATAATAGTATGTAAATGTTTCTTTATGTGAATGCCTTAAAAAAAGTGTTAGAAATTAATATACAGTGTTATACAGTTTTGCTTTTACTGTTTTTTCAGACAGCTGTTCAAATCAGTAATAAGGCCAGACCTCCTTCTGAAGAAGATTTTGAAATGATAAAACTAATCAGTAATGGAGCTTATGGGTGAGTTTCTTAGTTGTATATTAGTGCTTAGTACTCCAGCTTTGTTTCTAGCATTATGATAGTTTAACATTCTCCTTTGTATATTTCGGTATCTGTCCATCTATTCATTTATCCATCCATGTATCTGTGTATTTATATAATGAAAAATATTAACTCTTTTATTAAGTTTCTCTCTGTCAAATTTCTCATAATACACGGAGAAGTTAAGCATCCATTGCAACTTAGTTTTATGTCTAATATTAGAGAACAATTACTTTTAATTCTGGGGTAGATTTATCATAAAGGTATATATAAAAGTTTACTCTGTAAAAATAATAATTGATATTTTATACCTTTAACATGGGTTGGGCATGACCTAGTGGTAAGTATGTAGACTGCAGGTTGGAAAATCTAAAGAGAGCCCATGATATATAGATGAACATTTTCTATACTTTAAGCTCTGGGTGTATTATAACAATGACAGTCGATCCTGCTAATTGTGTAAGAGTAACTGTGTAGGAAGTGGGTGCTTCTGAGTGATTTTATTCCTGGTCAGCAGTTTTTAAATTAGAGGCTGACTATACCTAAACTTTGAGACTGACTTAGCCATTTAACTTGTGTATTGCATAAGGTGCCATTCAGATTGAAAATACTGAATGCCTGCAGTGTATGTGTAACCATAAATGTAATTGTATTTCAGCTTTAACTTGCCTAATTATGTAAATTAGTAGACTGAAGAAGTGTTTTTTTAATGTTTATCTAGGTAAATCACTGCACATTTCTACATTTAGACATGTTTGGTATGAGATGGTGTATACTATTTATTGAATATTGCATAATTAAGAATTCCTTTTGTATGTTAATATACATGAAATATATATGTGTAAATGTAAAAATCTTGAAAAGCTTCCTAGAAATGAATCTTTGATCATTTTTCAAAATATAACTCTTAAAAACATATAATTTATAGTCTTGTGTATTTCAAACACGTTTAATATAAAAAAATATTAAAGTAATAGTTACTTTATGCAGTAAATATTTTTTCAAGTAATATTGCTATCAAGACTTTCATAAAAATGATTTGATTTTTTTTTAGTGTTTTTAGCCATTTTGGGTTAGTGCTGAAAATATTTCTGATTTAGTACAGTGAGAAGTTAAAAATTAATATGTTTATTTAAAGTTTTTGTGAGTGTGGATGTATTACTAACTAAAGAAAATTTAACACCTCCTATTTTTTAAATATTTGCTGTTTGAGAGAGTTTTTTTTTTCATCTTTCTCAGAGCTGTATACTTAGTGCGTCACAAAGCAAGTAGACAGAGGTTTGCCATGAAGAAAATAAACAAACAGAATCTGATACTTAGAAACCAGAGAGAACAAGTTTATGCAGAAAGAGATATTATGAGTTTTACAAACAATCCATTTGTGGTTGGCATGTTCTGTAGTTTTGAAACAAAAGTAAGTACCATGCATTAGTTTGTTTATTCTAGAGTATAATATTACATGTGACCATTTTTTAATTTTTTGTAATTCATAAAAACTTTTTTGAAATCTTTAGATCTGCTTTATTATTTGCACTTCAGTAAAATAGTGAAATATGTTTATTAATGAATCATGACTGGTGATAAAATCGTACTTTGTAAGCATAATTCAAGCTACTTAAATACTATTTGGAAGTTAAAGAGAAGTTACTTGTGTATATTTACTTATTTATTTCAAACTAGCATATGTACCCATTTACTCTCTCTCTGTACGTGCTCATAACCATTTTGTGCTTGTTATAGTTTTCATACTATAACTTTTAATATAGTAAGTGTATCTTCACAAAATTTGGCAGACTTTTAGGAAACATTACAAAAACTCAGTTTTTTAAAGAAGTATTTTTTTACTAAAGTTTTGTCTGTGAATATATCAGATCTTATTTTTTACTAGTTCAAGTGCAAAGAGAATTCTAAATTAAGAATAGCAAAGTTATTCATCAACCAATAAATACTATTTACTCACAAATGCTTAAATTTTAGTTATTTTTATTGAAACATAGAAGAATAAATAAAAGATATTTTGAAAAACAAAGATTTTGAGCATTTACAGTGTTGTGAGATTTTGTGTTAATGCGTTGTACGTGCTAAGCTTCGCCGTAAACCTTGTTTATTCTTCAGAGTGGAGGTTGAAGAAACATTAATTTTTGTAGGCTTCAAATATACATTTTAGAAAACAAAAAAAAATTATCAACTTGCTATATTACTCTACACAAAATCCCTGTAATTTATCTGGGTTTCTAAACAAGTTATATATGACTAAAGAAATCTTGTATCTGTTCAAATCCACAACATGGTCATCACACTTTAACAGTTTTGGTGAAATTATAATTTTCTCCTTCAAGCTATTTACAAATGACTGTCAGATTTACGTTCACAGGAAACTGCTCTTTCTCTTGGTAGTAAACACTTCGTGAAAAGAAGTAGGTGGGACTAGACAAGAGGTTTCAAAAGAATGGATCAGTGGGAGGAGCCACTGTACTAGATTGGCTAAATATATTAACATATCAGTAATTCAAAGAAGTGGGAGGTTCTTATTTTACATTCTAGCTTGTATGTATCTCAAATTTGAGGTACTAATTCGTTAACCACTGTACACGTTGCATGGTAGGCAAAATAAAATATAAACTGAGCAATAAATAAGATAGGAGGTGTTATGTGACAAACGAAATTGATATTTTTTCTTTAAATGTCCTTTAAATTTAAGAAATTAAAACTTTAAAATTTGAATTATAAACTATATTTTGATGTCAGTTACATTGACACAAGTAATAATAATGTTACTTAATAAAATTTAAAAATAACTCTTTTAAAAGGTTTTGATGTGCACTCTATAACTTACCCACAGTGAAAAGTTTAATGCATTGACCGGAAACTGTTTGCATATCTTTCAGCATCATTTTTTTTTATTTGGTTTGTTTCATTAGGAGCTTCATTTTACCGTATTAATTGTTTTCCCTCTGCTTCGGTTATCCTAATTTTTCAAACTTTTTTTTGATTTTGTTGTACCATCCATATACTTTTTCTTTCTGTGGATAAGCTACATTTTTTGGATTTACTAACTACATTTTAATGCCAAGTTTATTTGTATACATTGATAATGAAGTAGTTAATTAAATGTTGAATGTAACTCTATAATAGGTTGTGACATGTGCACTTTGACCTAACCAATGCAAAAGGCATAATCCATGCGATAATACTTCATACTACAACGAGTAATCTATATATAAAAAAGTTACTGCCTGTTTGTAATGTTGATAACACTAAAATTACCTCAGTGGTGAGAGGTGGCCAGACCTCAAGTGGAAGTCTTGTGTTCAAATAAAAGTACAGTTAGGATTTTTTACAATCTCTTTTATTGATAAGTGATTATGTTTAGAGCAAGCTCTCTCAATATTCAGAAAAACATGAATACCATATTTTTTAAATTATTCTGAACAAAACTAAAAATAGTTTTGATGTTATTTAAGTTTTAAGTTCTTCAAAGAAATCCTCTATCTCCCCTAGTATGAGAACTGTGATATTTGATCTCTCTGTCTTCCCACTTCTCTAATTTATTTTAACACCCTTCTGAAAAGTACAGATTTTAACAAAATTACTCATTATAATATATTTATTATTCAGACGAAGCATACTTTTTGTAGCCTTCAATCTTATTTGGTTTCAGAACCATGAACTAGAAAATCAGACCCATCCTGCCATGCCCATCTGTCACATCCTTTATTTCACAAATTTCTAATAGTTCTCTCTAATGATTAATACTATATTATTTATAATCAATAGAAAGCCAAAGTTGTAATTTATCAAATAATACAAAAACTAGAAGTACTTGTGCAGGGCCCCCAAAAGTGTTCTCTTTCAAGTGTAAATAAAACCAAAATTATTTCTGGCTTTGAGAGTTCATATGTCATGCTGTGTTGTAGTGTACAGAGTGCATAATTATTTTTATGATTCAAGGCATGTACACATTTTACTGACATTATGACAGTACAAATTAAACTTTCATTATGTGATGTCATTTTAGTTTTGACTGACTAACAGACAACACACTACCGTTTAGTGGTGCTAGTGGTTAAAATAGGTGAGCCGTCCAGGCAGCCTTTGGTCTACTGTTGGGAAAATGACGTTGTTTTCTGTACAGTCTGTTTTGCTTCCAGATCAAACTTTATTCCCATGGAAAACACGGTGACAAGCTTACTGAATTTTTAATGACTCTTATCGCATAGTTAGAAAGCTAGAAAAATTATGATAGATATCGAACATTGTCTTGTTTTTAGTTGTTATTATTCTGTGTTCTTAGGTGCATTATTTAATTAAATAAAAAAGTATTTATTGCAGTTGTACCATTAGTATAAAAAAAAAGTAGGGTTAAATTTTATCGATAGTTGATGGGAAAAAAAACCAAAGAAGACCCGTGTAAGTACCATATTTCTTGTTTTTCGTGTGTATTCTCTATTTATTATTATAATAGTAACTAAAGTATAAACATCAGAAACTTTTTAGGTTAGATAAGGATTATTACTTAGACATGATTCTAAAGGCAATAAAACAGTAAAATTAAGTGTATAAAGAAGAGAAATTATCATTACTGTTTTTCTCAGAACAACTAAATGATTAATATAACAAAATAAACTTTCTGTAAATGATATTAAATCTTAGTCTTGGATGTTTGTGACTTATTTTAAAAAGCTGAAAGGCTTGTTTCTTCCTTGAAAAAAAGATTTGATTGAATTGTCACCAAGAAAATAAATTACAATCATAGTTTTTGAAAGTGATTTATCTCCAAAAGTCAAATTTATAAATAATGTATACTGTTAGAAGCTTTAAGCTGTGGTTTCCTGTTACAATTTGCAGTCATTCCAGAAAGAAAAATGGGTAATTTAGAATTATTTCCTAATTTTTTATGGTTGTTATGAGGGCAACCAAATTGACCAACCTTGTATAGAGTTATAGTATAGAAAATAACTCATAACATAAAGTTTTTCTGAAAAAAAACATTTGATTTTCATTTAAGAGGTCTTGGGGATCACTCAAATGGAACTTGAAAATTTTCAGGTTACAAAAGTATCTCTAATCTTAACATGAAAATCACTGCATTTGGAGCAGTCAACACTCTAACACCATATAATTACAGATCAAGTTTTAGTCAAAATTCTGATTAGTTGTTTACCAAACACTTTTAAAGTTTACTGAAAGCTTGCCAAATTTTAGAGTCATAGTACGTATATCACAATGGTTACATGGTGGTTACAGGTGTAAAGTACACAAGCCCATTGCAATAGGGTTAATAAATCTTGGCATAGTTCTATTAAACTAACTTCAAGCAACTACCCTTATTAAGAACTTCAAGTGAAAGATAGCTAACTGCTTAGATTAGCACTAAGAATGATTTAAAAGTAACGTACACATTAATGAAAAGTGTTCTAGTAAAACATACTGACAAGAGGAACTTAATACTATAATAAATGTGCTAACAAACTAAAACCTCAATCATCAGTTGTTACCCTCTCTCTCTGTGATATTTTTGGATATAATAATATATTTAGTTAAATATTGTGTATGTTAGAATTCTTAACTGTCACTAACTTTTTGAATTTATTTTATACTTTGATCCAGTTGTAAACCAACTTAGGTATATGTAGACTGTATTACATTTTTGTGTTTGTGTATGAAAAGCAAATAACAATAGAACTTAGGCATGAACTGGTATTATAAATATATATTTTACACTATGTGCAGATTTATTCCTAGAAATAGCAGTTTGTACATGTTATCATTATTATGTAATGAGCCATTATGTGTTTACATGACTATGATTCTGTATTAAATTTAATTATATTTCATTTTTATTTCAAACTTTTGAATTACAACTTAGGCATTTGGAGTTAGTTAATCTCTTTTGAACAAAGCACAGGACAAACATAAAAACCCAAGGTTTAGATGGTAGTGATTTTTTTTATTTCTTACAGAAATACTTGTGCATGGTTATGGAGTACGTAGAAGGTGGTGACTGTGCTACACTGTTGAAAAACATGGGCCCATTGCCTGTTGACATGGCGAGATTTTACTTTGCTGAAACTGTATTGGCTGTAGAATACTTGCATAGTTATGGGATTGTTCATCGAGACTTAAAACCTGACAAGTGAGTTTTTGTTTGGCTATAAATACAGTTTTTCAAGTATCAATTGTATTTTAATGTATTTACAAAATATGGTGAGATAACTCCTGAAGTTCATGGATGTCCCACTCTGATGAATAGTTTGTTCCTCCTAAGGAGTTTTTTCTTGATCAGAATGGAATGATGTACGTTTTTTAATATGAATAACAAATGGTATTTGTACTAGTTACTGTGAAGACCTGTTTACTCTGCTCTCTCCTTTTGTAACATTTGGTTTTGTTAGGACTAAAGTTTCAAATAATCCAACAAATTTGGATGTGTAGAAAATAAGCTATAGTGCTGGTTGATATTGAGATAATAAGCTTTTTGTGAATTTTGTTTGGTCAGACTTACTTTATATATCTGATATTAAAATGAGTGTGTGATATAATGAAAAAAATTGAATGGGCTGTTACGAATATAAATATCCTTTTGGAATATTGATATAAATTTAGTTATCTTTCATTCAAGACAATTATCTGGAAACAAAAAAATAAATTTAATAAGGTTGTATTTAAAATAAACTTAATATCAAGTTTTTCATCTTATACAGATGGAATATTGGTTGTAAAAGTATAGTAGGTAAATAATTATAAAATCATATTCATTGTAAATGATAGTTTTTAAGGCAGAGCACAATTACAACCATATGAATCTCTTGTTTGGAAACAACTTTATCTAATTTTTAACATGTAAAGTTTTTTCTCATAGCATATAGCTTATTAGGAGTATATTTCATTATTAGCTGATTGTGTATTTCTGTCAAAATGATTTATTTTCTGTGCAGCGTAAACTATTAATGAGAAGTTGAGGATGCTGCTCCCTGTTTTTTTGCTTTATTATTTAACTGATATATGTCAATGTTAGTTTTAACTAAGAAAATATTTATTTTCAGCCTCCTTATTACAGCCATGGGACACATTAAGTTGACAGACTTTGGGTTATCAAAAATTGGCCTAATGAACTGTAAGTATTTTGAAACATATATATGAATAATACATTTCCTGGAAACAAAAGGTAACGGGAGTAGTGAATTTTTGTATATTTTACAACTATAAATTTTATTCCAATGCTGACAAAGACACTGTATGACTCATGCTTTAATATGCTCAGAACTAAATTTTATGTCTTAAATTTTTTTTTATCTAACTAATGATAATTTGTTTTGTGTTTACTGTTTTTTGTTCTACTTTTGATATTAGAAGAACTTTTAAGGGTAACTGCCTTCCCACAACTGGCTGCGGACAGTTAAAGGCAGTAGGAGTTGAGACGTTGTGGGTATAAGCACTCAACTCTGCACTCTTATTTGATTTTCCATGACTGCTAACTAGTTTTTCATCTGCATTTGGATTTTGTATGATAGATGAAATATCCCCAACACTTTTTGGTGCTATCACCATAGACAATTTCCGTTAGAACTTTAAGGTTACAACTGGAAAATTGCAAAGGATTTTAAAATACAAATCATTGGTAATATTAAAGCTATGAGAAGAGAAAACCACTTATAAAATGTCAGTTACCCAGTTAGTTCTTTGTTACATAAGTAAGGCAAATTAGTCATGTGACCTGAAATGACTTGTCATTCAACTTCCATTGTGTGTATGTAAGTGGTCTGACACACTCTTGTCTTAGTTATACCTGTGAAGTGACTTGAAAAGTTTAAATGCTGATTGTGATATAGAATTAGAGTACCAATTAGAAATTATGTTTAAGAAGTGAAAGAAATGGCTTATATAATTAGCAGTTTGACCACCACTGTTTGTTTTATCCCAGTGGCCTACTCTGGTATTGGATGACAGTGTTCTGACTGTCACGACATTTATTGTACCTCTGTTATTGAGCAAAATGCATTGTTGGCAATGGATATGGCAAGCATAGTATAGTTGAAATACTATTATACACTTCTTGGAAAAACCATAAGGGACTAAATAAAGAATGTAGTGTTTAAAAATACACTAAGCATAATTCAGTTGTCTTATGATGAATATAATTAAAATAAATGTGGGTTTAATCAGGATTATTTTTTGTTTCAAAATTAAAGATTTACTCTTGAAATTAAAGTTGAAGATTTTGAAATTGCTAATATCAATCTAATTTGATAGTTGAATTATTTCAAACAGATCTGCAACATTAATAGTGCAGTATTTATTCTCAAACATAGTAAGATATAAATGAAGTAGATGGCACTTGTGCACAGATCAAACTGAAATGTTTTATAGATCAAATTTTACTGTTCAGTTAGTCAGTTTTGTATATGCCTTTTTTATTCTTATACTAAGGTGTGAAAGTGTCATCAGATATTTGTGGTAAAGTTATATGGTAAAGTTATAGTTTCAGCTTTAACAATGTTTTTTAAAATACTTCATCTTCTAATTCATCACACAAATATCAGTTTTCTCCACAAATAAATGTTTGCAGTTTCTTATAGTATGCTTTTACTAACTTGTAAGTGTATTTAACATATGTACAACTATGCACAAACCATGACTTTTTTTTTTAAATCAAAAAATGAGAAGTTCTATGTATTCCTTAAGCTGCCTTGTAAGTACATGATACATTTAAGATGATTTAAGTTCTTAAATGTTTTTTTCTATTTCTTATCAGTCCAGTATTTCTGTTGTATTTTTATCAGTTTTATTTCTAATTGGAAATTTAAGTATGTCGTGATCTTCTGTTTCAGTGGCCACTAATATGTATGAAGGATACTTGGATCGGGAAACTAAACAATTTAATGATAAACAAGTCTTTGGAACTCCTGAATACATAGCACCTGAAGTTGTTTTACTACAGGGTTATGGTAAGTTGTTAGTTTTGATAAGATTTAGCCAATGGTTTTATTATAAAGAAATGAATGAAAACATAAGTACCAAACCCAGATATGAAATGATTTATATATTTTGTTATGATTAATTTTGGGCAGTTCTTTAATATGTGTATATTTTGTTGAAAATCAAGGAGACTTAATTCCTATATTTTATCTTTTAAGCTAAGTTTTAGTGCTGACTTTCCTCTAAGAAATGTAGCTGTAGATGTTAATTTCTAATGAAAAAGATGTTTCTTAGTTGGAATGGTTTCTCATTTGTATCTGCTAGTGATGCATAGAATTTTATAAAATATATTTTTCAGTCATTTAATTTTAGGAAGATTTTGTTTTATACAATCATTTGGGGGAATGGTGTTGAACACCATTATGTAAATATGACATATTTCTGTATTGTTGTTTTTTTTCCTCTTAATTAATAGGTTATTCATATTACAATAAAGTCACTAGCTGAACCCAGGAACAAGTCTAACTGGTGGTGAATCTTTCTATCTATAACATATAATGCACATTGGGTTTGATGAAATAAAAAGAACAATGTATGGTATTGAGATCCCACTTTTCCTGTATGATTAACAGGTAAACCTGTTGACTGGTGGTCCATGGGAATTATTTTGTATGAATTTCTTATTGGCTGTGTTCCTTTCTTTGGAGAAACCCCTGAAGAACTTTTTGCCCATGTTATTAATGGTATGTTGACATTATAGTACTTTTGTCTTTATATAATAAAAATGTCTGTGTATTCATCTCCAAATAATTCATTTATTGACAGCAAATTGAAAGTAAACATTAAAGGAAAAAGCTGTGATAAAGTTCACTACTTATTTGTAATATTTAGCTGTTTCCTCATTCTTTCACTGAATTAAAAATTAGGTTTGTCATTTGCATTTAACTTGAGGCGGGTGTACAATTTTGTGGTCTGATGTATAATTGTTACTCAGTTGTGAATAAAATACTTCTACACCAAGAATACAAGAGATACACGTGGACCTTAAATGTATAATATACTTAGAAGAAAAGTTTAACAGTTATAACACAAATATATTTCTAGTACACTGTGTAGTTTCTTTAAAATCCTTTTTAAACTACTGTACAGCCAATGAAGACATGTAATTCATTAGATTTTTACTGTGCACGTAATCAGTGTTATACCTTCTGAAAAGTACTTGATCTTTTGGTGTTTAAACAGTAGGTAGAACTAAGTGCTAAAACTGAGTAAAATGGATAAAACTTAAACATCTTTCTCTTGGAATTTCATGTGAAACACATCTTGTTTAGATGAAATTGAGTGGCCTAATGAAAATGACTGGCCTGTGCCTGATGATGCAAAGGAGTTAATTACTCTTTTGTTGAGGCCAAATCCATTTGATCGGCTAGGAACTGGTGGTGCTCATGAAGTGAAAGATCATGCTTTCTTTGCATCTCTTAATTGGGAATCTCTGCTGCGTAAGAAAGCAGAATTTATCCCACAACTGGAAGATGAAGAAGATACGAGTTACTTTGATAGTAAGTATAATTTTATTATGGTGACTATGTTGTTTCAGTGTAATAACCAAAAAGTACTTAGAAATATCCAATGTTTGGTGTGTGAACCCTATTAATTTTGGGGACAAAACATCAAGATCACCATTGAAAAATAATTCTTCACGTACAAAAAAGAAATATAACTACAAAATACAAGCACATAAACATAACAAAAGGTAAAAAAAATAAAAGCTGATTGATATTTCTTATCAGTGTTTTGTTGTAATTTCCTTAAACTTTCATTATTTAAAAAAATTCTAAATAAGCAGTACACTATTTACGGTGTACAATTCATATATTTGCCAAAAGTGCCTATGATTTTCTTAATGATACCATTCTTTTGTTTGAGGCACACTTAGAACTTTTTTTTTTCTTTCTTCTCTCTTATTAGCGAGATCTGATCGATACAGTCATGAAGTTGAAGACTCTGAAGAATTGGAAGATACTGATGACAGTTCTTTCTTCAGAAATTTTTCATCTTGTTCTCCTCGTTATTGTAAGGTATATTCTCGAGTAGAGAAGGAGTTAAAAGAAGAGAGTTTCACTAAAGTGAGCAAATAATTAATTTATAATTAGTAATTAGGCACAAAGAACTCTTAATTTTGAAATATCAAATTATTTTTGAACAATTTAGGACTACTTGATGTGGCTAACTACCAGCTTGTTTTTTTTTTCAGGTTCTGATAATTATGATATATAAATATAAGTAGTATAGTTTGACCAACTCCTACCAAAAGTATATTGGTTGTATGTAAAATATATGATAAAAAAATAAAAACCAGGTAATATTCATAGGAAAGAATAGGTTTGAAAAGTATTTCAAAAGTGTTAATTCTTTTTTTTTAAGTACTTTTTTTTAAACAGGAATGCCATAATAGTGGTTTTGGATTTTATTAGTTCTTCCACATGTGTTTATTGTCTTAATAGTTATTTCTGTACTTTCTTAACAGCACTTGAGAGAAGAATCAACTCTTCGTTCATCGGGCAGTTTTAACCTGTGCCAGTCGGATCAGTCTGACAGCTCTAGTTCACAAGGGAGTAGTCTGTGCAAAACTCCTGAAAGTGGGAAAAAATCAGTTTCAAATCCAGACTCGTAAGTAGTGGTTTCGAGTTTTCAGGAAGATTATTTTTGAAATTAATTTTATATTTTGTGGCTTTTGTTTTTTCCAAGATTAAATTTGGTAATTTTAGTGCTAGTTTTAATGATAAGCCAATGAAAGTTTATTGGAAGGAGCACATTTATTTCTCTTCATTATTTTGATAGTAAGCTTGATTATCAAGTTTATTGATCTGTAATGCTGGAAAATGATTGTATAGTGCTACTCCCTAAATTGATATTTCAATGTTTTATTTTCTCAAGACTTGGATATTTCTGTTTTAGGTTGAGTAGTTAACTTAAGATAACATCTTTAGAATATGGCGTTCAATATTTGGATGATATTTAATACCTCTTACTTAGAGAATATTTATTTAGGAAAATTTGTGATATGGTTGTGAGATTTCCTTCATTCTGTTCAACTCAGAAGTAAGTTGAAGTGAGACATAGATCAAGCAAACTTTTGTTTGTAAACTCCAATGTTGAATTTTTGTATAAGCTTGAGGATCTGTAGCAAATCTTAGACTTTTAAAGTCAAATGAAATAAACTTACTGGGCGACAAAAACTTGATATTTTAGATAATTATGAACTTTCTTATGCTGCTTGGTTAATAAGATATCCTGTAATATTAATTTAGTGCTCTAAGATTAAAAAGATTGTCTTCTAAAGATGTGTAACTGATGCTGCATTCCATTTACACTAGTGCTGAAACCCAGTGTAAAAGTATAATGAGTGATATTTGAGTACAAGATAAAAGGCAATATTTTTTATTATTAATTTTTTTTCAGAATTTATGATTATTGTACAGCTACTGAAACATCTATATTATAGTACAAATTGACTTTTATTGCTAGCATGTCCTAAAGAAAATTCTATTCTATTTAGGAAAGGGTGCTGTTCGATAATACTGTTGAGACTGATTAATTATTATGAAATTTATTGTATGTGGGATTGAGTGATGAGGAACAATTATTATATAGGAAACTTTGTGATATGAATGAGCTATTTGCACTAACTATTCATGAATAAATACTGTTTGTTTTTAAGATTCCTGCCTGTAATAAAAGGAAATGGATAAAGATCTCTGTATAATAATAATAATAATAATAAATAATTAACATTTTAAAATAGATTGTAATTTAAAAGATTACCAACTCCAATCCCATTTTATATTGTTTTTTTTTCAATTTGAAGCACTCTAAAATGTATTACGTACAGCTATTTGAATTGGCCTGTTATATCAGAGAGAATTTATTATTAAGTGAAGAAATATGACTTCCTCTGTAACAATACAGTGTGTCTTTGTCAAACTTTAGGTCTCTAAAAAGAGGGAAATAAAGACCAAATGAGATTGAATGTAGTGCACATAGACTAAATATTTTATTTTTTATTCAGAACTCTTCAACCAGAAGCTCAGAGTACTCCGGATTCCTCTCAAACTGAGTCAGAAGAAGTGTCACCTAAGGTTCAGAGACGTCGACGACCAAGTGTAAAAGAGTTGCTGCCACGTTTCTCAATCAGTATGGAAGACAACAGACCTTCTGTAGTGGCCATACCTCCAGATTACAAGGAACTGTCACCTGTCAGTGAAGGCACTGCTCAAAGAGTGCAAAGCAGAGCTGTTAAGTCCAGGAAAGAGATTTCTCCTGTACCACTTTCGGCTAGAATACCAATACCCTCGGCCCCAATGTCTTCTAATGGGTATCAACAGAAATCTCGCTCGGTCATCAAATCAGCATCTGCTTCTGGATTGTCGTTGATCATCCCAGCTGGTATTGTTTTGTTCATTTCTAAGAATTGGTGTTGCAAGAAAAATTTTCTAAGCGTGTTAATGAATGAAAATATAAACATTGTGGTAAACTTATTTCATCAAACTAAGAGTAAAATATACAAGTGGAGTGTGAAGGTTCTCCTTTATCTCTTTTACCATGTGATTCATTCATGGACAGTCTTGAAACTGAAACATTAAATTAAGTGAAAATGAAAATGGAAATTTGGATAAGCTATACTGATGATACATTTTTGATATAGCCAGAAGGTAAAAAGAATTTAATTAATTTTGTTAATTATCTTAAAAACATTGACAATTTTATCAAACTTGCGTATCAGATTGAAAATAATAATGGTTTAACCTTGTTTTTGGATGTGTTTTAATAAGTATAAATTGGAAAATGCTGTTTATCATAAATCATTCTTGGTAATCATGCCCCCCACATCAAAAATCATTTAATACTAAATCTCAAAAATCACTGATTATTATTCTTATGTAAATAGATTTTTGAAATTATGCTGTAATCAGAAAAATATTAACAACAGGTTATTATTAATTAAGTGTATAGCAGTAGAAAGAGGTTTTAATCATGAAATAACTGACAGAGCTGCCAAGAAATTCAAAAATTACAGGTATTAACAAAGAAGGGATGGGATTATTATTTATATCTGTCTTTTCAAATAATGTAACAGTTTAGAAATATAATAAATCTTTCCTATTATATATATATATTGATGAACAAAGTCAGCCAGATTCTTAATATAGTGAAAGATAAAACTGATCTAGTGGGAAAAGCTGGTGTATGTATAGAACAAACTAGAAGGGATTTCACATACAAATTGAATGAACACTAAAGATAGTATAAGAATAATAAAAGATGTTGTCTTTAAGTGAACATATTAATGAAAGTAAACACATGATTCAATGGGAAAAAAACTTATTTTGGCACAGTCTACGTATATTACTTGTAATAATATCTACAAATCTATTGAGGGACAAGTTTTTAGTAGGTGGTGTGAAATTCTTTAAAGTTGAATCAGTATGTAAAGTTTGATCATGTATATATAGCTTTTAACCCAGGAAAATTATTTCATTCCTGATGATGGCGAAGAAAAATGTTGAAACATGTAGACAGTATGAGACTATATGTGATCTCGGTGTTTTTATCTTTATACAGTAAATTGAGTAAGTGTTTTATTGTCATTTGTTAGTGGGGACACTCTCATGTTTGAATATTCATTGTGTGCCATTAAATGTTAGCTCTTTTAAAAACTGTTTATGATAGTAAATTGTTATAGTATATCACCTCTTGAAAAGAATGTTGCATAAGATTTCATTAGTTGTACAATAAAATACTTAAACTATTGATATATTTTCCAAGTGTTTAAATCTCCATCAGTGCAATAGTTTTCAATCTAACTATTACATGATAAGTCACATCTAGGAAAAGCAATGAAACAATTGTGAAATACCCTTTTTTTTTTCTAAAAATTATTACTCTAAAAATTGTAATTTTGCCCATTTTTCAGAAGTAAATAATGAGAAAGTTTTTAAAATAAACACTAGACAGATATATTACAAATCTAAACTTTTCAAGATAATTATTGTTGAAATATGAGGTTTTATTTGATATTGTTTCCATGAGAATGAACAATGTTGGCAACTTTTTTATTTTTTTAAACTTCAGACCTTCAATGATAAATAAACTAATAACCAGGAAAGTCACTATGTGTTATACATAATATTGACATTAAATTACAACATAATTGCTTCCCCTGAAATAAATGCTTCATTACCTCTATCCATAAATAATTAATGTATATTACTGATTTGTTCAATTTTTCTAACAGATGATATAGGTGGCTCTCCCGGTGAATCCAGTACCAGTTCTCGAGACACGTCACCTAGTAGGGACACAAGCCCTCTTACCAATCAGCTCAAACCTCCTATAATTGTCAGGCGAGGGCCACGTGGATTTGGTTTTACAGCTAGAGCAATTAGAGTATATTTCGGTGACACTGACGTTTACACTGTTCAGCATCTCGTATCGGTAAGATTATGGAGCAAATCAAATGAAATGTGTGATAGTAAAAAAATGTTTTTTTTAATATTTTTTGTCTATAATTAAAGGCAACTGTTGTTTAAAGCTTGCATATCAATTTATCTGCATATTCCTTTCAAACAAGATTCTAGTAAAGATATATTTGTTCTTTCATTTAATAGTTTCTTTTTGAAAACAGTTCAGGATTCTGATTTTTTTTTCTAATCAAGGTGAATTATCTGTTTCAAAAACAAAGCCTTTTGCATTTTCGTGATAAAATTTGTAAAGATACAAGTTGCAGATGATACTTCTACAATTCTTATTTCTTTATATGTGATGAGAAACTGGGAAACATCTGGTTTGAGTTTGTCACTGTCTGTCGTAGATAACGTGAAATATTGTGAGATCAATAAAATAACAATTTCCCTATTATATAATGAACATCAGAGTACAAGTAAGAACTAATGTGATTGATTGACTGTTTGTTTAGTTCTAAGAGTAAACTTTAATTCTGTGTTTAATTAAAGTTGGAACTTTGTATGTTTCATGACAATTTAAATTATCTTCTGATAGGCAATGGTTCTAGTATTTAATTTTTGGTATGTTGATACCATTCGCTTTATTATACAAAATGAAAATTTTGTCCTTTTTTTAAATAAGTTTTCTTCCATATGTTCTACTCTTTTTGTTTTTTTATGGTGAATTTGATATGAAGTCTGAACAATTGTTGTTATTGTTTTTTTGTTGTGTGTGTGTGTGTGTGGAACTTTTTTCTAATAATTAAGTGGACTACACTTTGGATTAACTGTTGTAAACCCCTTCATTAATTGTATTTTGGGTCACAATATTTGGTTGCTAACTCTTAGGATATTTGTGTTAATTGAAATTCAGTAGCTGATCGAAAGTAGAAGATTGACTGTATTTATTCTTGGAGCAATGCCCTGTATGTATGTCTGTGAATTCATTGAGAAGATTTAATCCGACTTATATTCAGTAGCTGATCGAAATTAGAAGATTGACTGTATTTATTCTTGGAGCATTGCCCTGTATGTGTGTCTGTGAATTCAATGAGAAGATTCAATCCGACTTATGTGATGTAATTTGAGAACTGTAAATAAGAGGAGGTTAACAGTAATAGTTTTATTTTGATATCCATTGTCTACTTAAGAGTTATCAGGTAAATTGATAACTGCAACTAAAATTATCTCATTGGTTCATTTACATAAACTATTGGATAATGTTATTTTTATAAGGCAACTCTTGGCTTGGCTTTTTGGACCTCTTAAGCAGTATTAAATTCATTGTTTCTACTGGAATAGTATCTGTGTAAGGGAAGCTAGAGCTTATCACAAAGACTTGTAGTGAATCAACTTTGAATTGATAGATATGTATTTATGTAATTACACACTTAGTATCTAAATGTTTACAAGTCTAGAATTTAATCCAATATATATATATATATATATATATATATA